TTTGGGGAGGGTTGTAAGGTTTGTGGAGTGTGTGTGTGTTAAAAAAGATAAAAAAAACCCCGAATTTCTGCGGGCTTGCGTTGAGCGCGCTGTGGGGGGGGGGGGTGCATTCTTCTGCTAGACCTTCTTTAAGCAGATTCGCTTGGAAGGAGAAAGAGAGAGAGAGAAGTGCATATTCCTATGTGATTCTTCACCTTCTCTAAATTTACACTCTTCTATCCTTATTCATTAACTCAGTTTGTCTTACCTTTATTAGAGTATGTTATCTCTGGGTCCAGTCTGCCCAATAGACAGTTTCATTTTCCCCAGTAGATATATTTTATAACGCTGGTTTTCTTTTCAGAGTTTCTCTGCTCCTGTATTGCCTCATATAAAATGAACGGATCTTCATTGCATGATTCGTATTTGCTTGTAGTCTTTATTATATACATTAGTCTATTTTTTTTCATCACTGCGTGCTATTTATGCAATAGCGATAACACAATCACGCATACACAAGCAGCACGGAAGGCATCAGTCCCAGAACAGGGTAGCCTTGCCATTGAGTCATACCTACAAGTCTGCCACTCCAGAAAAGCAGATGTTCAGAAAGCAGCAGACTCTTCAACCTTTAATGACATTAATACTCTTTAATAAGATGGAAGAGCCTACTTTTAAAACAGTTTAAACAGTTTTTTTAAAAAATACAATGGAGTGGATAATTGAATTAATTAATTAAGTAGTTAGTTAGTTAACTCTTGCTTATATATAAACTGGAAACTCAGAGAGGCTTACAACAAACCAAGTTGTACAGAGTGTGGATTTAATCAGTAAAAATAAATTTCAGAACAACTAACAGCATCCAGTCTACTGTGCCTACATTTTGGGGTAGAATGAGCTTCCTTTGGACCCCAAATGCCTTCTGAAACAGCAAGATGGGAATGGCCCTTCAAAAGTTTAATAAAGAGGATTCGGTCCATGCACCGTCTCAATAAACTCTTGGTTGGACAATTTGAAGGGTGCTATGTTCTTTTTTCCTCCCCCCAATATCTCTGCCTTATATTCTGCAATATTTTGCAGGGTTCATATCTTCTAAAGGATTGCCATTTTTGCCACTATTGCTGCCATTTTTATCCCATTTAGCAAAAAAGAGGAGAAAAGAAGCAATAGTTGCAGGCTTTTGATGCTTCTCCATTATAGTTAACAGACTCCTGAGTCTCAAATCAGTTTAAATGCAGGATTGCTGTCTTTAAATCTTGAATCTAAAATTCAAATCAAATTTTGTTACCTTTGATTCACAGATCTGCACACATTTGCTGTTTAAGCCTGGAGCCTCATTAGCAGAAGTAGTTCAATTTTTTTTGGTGTATTTATGTAATCAATTAATTAATATGGCCACCCCACTAATAAATTGTGACTCTGGGCAGTTAACAAAATATTAATTTACAATAAAAGGTAGATAGCAAACATAAAAAGTGCACGGCTCAATGTAAAACAACACAAAACATGGCCAAAACACAGTATATTCCTTATTTCCCAACCTGTTTACCAGATGGTTCATCCAATCTCCTGGCCCAGTGTCAGGGGAAAAGCCAGTTTTTAAAGAAAGGCTTTGACCCTTTATGGAAGGCCAACAGGGTCAAAGCCATCTGATTCTCAGGGGAACACCGTTCCAAAGGGAAGGCACCATGGCAGAGAAGGCATCCCTCTTGGGTCCCCTTAGATGACATTGTTCATAGAGGGAAGCCAAAGAGTGTCTGCCCACTCTTATCAGATTTCATGGGGTGGGCAGACACAATTGGAGATAAGCAGTCCTGCAAATAACCCAGCTCTGTGGAATGAAATGCTATGCTCATAACTACTCGCACTGCTGCTTTCTAGACCAACTGTAGCTTTTGGATCATATTCAAGGGCAGCCCATGTACAGCACACTGCAATAGTCCAAGGAGCTGACCAAGGCATGAGTGACTGTGATCAGGGCCTCCCAATCCAGGAACAGGCACCATTGATACACAAGATGGTTGTGCAAAGGCCTTTCTGGACATGACTATCACCTGCTCTTTAAGCAGGAGCCATCAGTCCAAGAAGAACCCCAAATTGTGCATCGGTTCTGTCTGGGAAAGTGCAATCCCATCCAAAATCAAAGTTGGAAAATCCCCAGATCCAGAATGTCCTAAAACTCACAGCCACTTGGTGTTGTTTGGATTGAGACAACCCCACATCCTCCAAACATTGGGAAAGAACCTTGATGGGATTGCTTGTTCTGCTTGGGGTAGCAATTTATAGCTACGTATCATCAGCTATGCATGATACTTAACCCTGTGCTGATAGATGACCTCACCCAGTGGTTTCATGTAGATGTTAAATAGAGTGGAGAGTGTGGAAATCCTTGTGGAATCCTGGACAGTAGGAGTCTAGAGCTGGATCTCTTTCCCACACTAACAAAACTGGTTCATAACATTGTTATTAAAACTTTGTGGTTGGATTTATTTTAATTGCAGTAAGGCCTGAAACTATCAGCCAGATTTTGTTGAGAACCACAGAGATGACCTTGGAGAAGGAATACCGCAATGACTGGCAAAACATGAATTAAGCCCAGGAAGAAGAGACATTACAAAGAAACCTGTCTTGACTCTTGGGTATTCTTTGATAAGTTTATATTTATTAAATCTAAGCCCTGGAATATTCTCATGTGCAAACTGAAGCAATTATACCCTTGAAAAATTGATTGAATTATAGAGGTGTCCACAGGGAGTTAAAAAAAAAAAATTAAGATGGTGGCCATGATCACATGATCAAAGCCATGCAACCTTTTTATCTGTGTCATTGCAATGCCTGTAAGAAAGGGGTATGGCATTGATCAGATGACCATGGCCACCATCTTTCACCCCCACATTGTGGACAACCCTGTTAGATAACATTTTTAGCAAAACATTTAGTGTTGTGTAAATCATTCAGTCCATGACCCAATAAATTGCCTTAAGTAGCAGCATTTTTCCCCAGTGTTTCAACAATGAATAATGCAACTGGTACCTTAGATTTTATGTTCTGGAATGAGTGTATTACTCCATGTAAATGTTTTCTGTTGCTGTTTTTAACATCTTTCTTACTTAACTATTTTGTATGGAACAACTGTGACTGATGTCCATGCATACCAATTGTTTTCCTAAGTTTATTCCCAATATATTTATATCAAACCTTACTTGGAAAAGCAGCAGATCCCAGATGCATTGGGAGTACAACTGCCCGCATTCCCAATTAGCATAGTTAACAACTAACTTGGAACTTTGGGAGATCATCAAGTTGGGAAATCATGTTGCTTTAATTTGGGTCAGGAAAAAGTCAAGTTCATTTATTGATTTAAATTCCTCTATGCTTCTTTCCCAATAAAGTTAGATATTCTGATTATAATCAGTTGAAATCAGATTTAAAAACATAATAAAATACAAAATCACACCTCTGTATAATTGGTAAGAGGAGTGCCAGGTCCTTTGTACCCCATATGGAAAGGACCTGGCAATGGACTTAATAGATTTAATCCTGCTCCCACATTCTACAAACACATAAAAGCACATTTCTGCCTTTGTACCCCATATGGAAAGGACCTGGCAATGGACTTAATAGATTTAATCCTGCTCCCACATTCTACAAACACATAAAAGCACATTTCTGCCTTTGTACCCCATATGGAAAGGACCTGGCAATGGACTTAATAGATTTAATCCTGCTCCCACATTCTACAAACACATAAAAGCACATTTCTGAATGAGATCAGAGTGATGCAATATACAATTTGTTCCATAAGGATCAATGACCTGCATTCACAGTCAAGACACGAACGGTGCCTAGATGTCCACGGCTGGGAGTGATGGAGCGTACCTGAACTCTAGAATGGAAAAGTCTGATTTCCGAACTTTGTCACTGGAAAGTTGTTGAACTCTAACAACAAAGCCAGGATTTGAGCTGAAGCTGTTAAAGCTCGAGGAAAAAAATCACAGTGCTTCAGTCTTTTGTTCAGGATATTTTTAGACAGCAATGATCACAGATCAGGCATCTCTGGCCTTGAGAGCTTATGAATACTACTCTCACATGAACAACCTACTTTTTTTTTCTAATCTTGATAATTCCAGCAGGGCTCTTACTGTCTTTTTTGACCTTTCTGTTTGTACAGTGCTGAATATGGTGTTTAAAATTACTGATTAAAATCATACAAAGCTTAGGAGCTTGCCAACTGCAGTTCTGGCTATTGCTTGAGATTATTAGGGTCATGTGCTGGCAGTGCAATTTTAAAATCTGAGATAGAAAAGACGTTAATTGATAGTACTGCTAGGGAAAATATTTAATAATGTGTGTGTATCACAGCAATGGAGGAGACAAGATATCTTTTTTTGAAAGGTGTTGATAGGAAGTTTTTAGTTCTGTCATGTGTTGACATGACACTTAGAAAATCTCTATTTTTAAAAATGGAACACTTTAAACTGTCAGATAATGAAAAGACAGTTTGCTGCTTCCCCACACACCACCACAAATCTTAATAGCAGTTTCACAGCATACGACTATATATATGTCCTGAATGTACAGCTATCTTAAAAAGACCAACTTAAATTGGCAACTCTGAAAGCTCCATATAAATAACAATGCAATTCATCATTCTTATAGACTGAAGAGCCACACTAATACTTTAACCCCTTTCCCCAAATGTCTTTTACTTTACTTCACTGGAAATAACTTTTTAATTGGGGTATATAGCATACCAAAGAAGGTTAACTATAAAAATCTTACAGTTGCAAAAGATCTTTAATCAAAAACCAGTTGGTGGAATTTATCACTGCATTTTTATAGGTTCAAAGTATATCAAATTGAGTGAACACATGGATGTATCAAAAAAGTTAAATGAAAGCGGAAACAATGTGCATTTTCTGGTTTTATCTTTTCAACATTTGTTTTTAGAGATTTTGTTGATGTTAAATGAACTGTTAACGTACATCAAGAAAAATGCATACGCCATCAAGGTCAGATGAAAATGAAATATAGCATAATCAGTTTATATTGACATCGCTTAACAAATAAAACAAACAAAAAACAAAATCTCCTTGAGGGAGAAATAGGAAACTAAATGAGCTGATGAACTGTGAGTTATATTCAGTTTAGTAAAGGCCACCCAAGGAAGAGAAGCCTATAACTGGCTGCAAACTGTATCACTAAAAATCCATAGCCATTTGATATGTCTCTTTATTGATGTCATGTTGACTGGGTTGTGATGCAGAGACCTTGCTAAGCAGGACAAATCAAGCTAGTAAAGCATTTTTCCTTCATTATACAACATAAGCTCAGTCATGGCTCAATGGTCAAAGATTTCTTGCTATTCCAAAATGGAGAGGGAATCACCTTAAGCTTGGAAGCTGCACATAATTTTACCAATTATCTATTCCTTTTATTACATTCCTATCTATCTATCTATCTATCTATCTATCTATCTATCTATCTATCTATCTATCTATCTATCTATCT